AAAACATGAAGGTGCGACTGACCCTGTCGGACAGGATTGGCGGTGGGGAGTGGGATAAAGGGGTGCGCTAAAAATCACTATGTGCGCCTTTATTAGTAAGGATTCTTCAGCGCACCAGCGTTTTCATTCTCTACTCGCTCAGCTTTTTTCTTTCGAGCTGCAAATTTCTTGTGTTGCCAGGACAGAAAGTGGGCATAAATGAGAAAAGAAACACTTGCCTGTGTTTGAACGAAAGATAAAAAAATGTGATAGAGAGTGTGTGTGTGTGGGGGGGGGGGAGAAACTCAATCACTTATTGTTGTTTGGGGGCCTACCGTAATATGATGGCGCACTCGTTTCACAGACCAATTTGTCACTGTGGAGATTCGCTTGAATGTCGTAATTTTTTTGCCTTGCACCAGATTAAGATAAACTTTGTAAATAACTATTTATGCTATTATTTCGCTTTTTTAAGATATTATTTTAATATATAATTTTATTATATTATTATTTTATTGTTATTATTATTTTATTTATATTATATTATATTATATATATTATATATTATATTATATATGTAATATATATAATATATATATTATATTATATATATAATATATATTATATGATATTATATATTATATTATGTATAATATATATTATAATATTATATATATATATTACAATATATTATATCTCTATAAAAAGCAGGATGTGTGTGTATGTGTGTGTGTGTGTGTGTGTGTGTAACGAATGCACAGCCGCAATTTTCGACGGATTTGTACCAAAATTTACATGCACATACTCCAAGTTAGCGGAAGGCCAAGACCGACGTTGCATTTCCCAACTCCCATCGATAGTGGAAATAATCGATTTTTTCATGCTTCTACGGCAGTTTTCATGTAGTTTGCGGCCATTTTCTACTGCACAAAGTGAGAGCCAATAGCTGGCTGCCACGAATAGGCAGGAAGATTCTATTGGCCAGCGTGAGAGCCAACAGCTGTCTGACACGAATGTTAACTAACATGCAAAAAAAAAAAATCGCTAGCTGCATTCGTCAGAAGTGGGGAAAATTTGCATGGCACTTTACTCCAATTGGCTCATTCGCTTGCTTAAACTCAACATTGATTCTGATTCCGCAGAACTGGTTTGGGGTGTGAAAAAGTATTTGTTGTTAACATTCTTTATTCATTCAGTTTTTCCAGTTACGAGTCGTTTTTTAAAGCTGATCGTTTTGTGCTCATTTTGTTTTGTTCTTTTTTGTAACAGATTTAATGTTTAGTATAGAGCTTAGAAAAAATTCGCAGTGTGAGATAGGCAAGAAGTAAGGCATGTAGCAACATCAGCACGGCAAAGGGCATTCCTTTAAAGGCAAGGAAGGGCAAAAATATTTTAAGTCAAGTGAGAGCGATTGCTGTATGAGTCGTACGATTTTTGAATCAAGCCCGGGCAACACCGGGCCATGCTGCTAGTTATTATATTTTATTATTTATATTATATTTATATTATTATATTTTTTTATATTTATATTATATTATTCATATTATTATTTATTTATTATTATTATTTATCTATTATTTATTATTATTATATTATGATTTTATTATTATTTTAATATATTATTTCGCTTGTTTGTATATATGACCGTTACGCATTTCTACAGAGGATCAAAGTGAGGTATCTGTTCAATCCTTACAAAATTAAACCCAATCTAGGAGAATGGCGTCATGGTTGCTTTCTCGTAGGAGGAGGTGATCCTATTCACAATCAGAATAAGACACACCTGTATTATTCACTCATTTCTTCTAAAAAACGAACATCCTCCTGAATGCACAGCATGTCAGAAGGCATATACTGTAAAACATATTCTTATCGATTCTAGTAACCTTGCCGCGATAAATCAACGATTTTATGATATAATAGTCTAGAGAAGTATTTCAAGAAGATAGAAGTAGAAACTATCTTAGCCTACTCGAAGGACGTTGGTCTATACCACAAATTACAGCCCTAAATAACTCCATTCTAAAGGCATTACTGGAAAGTGAAGGAACTAACGAGTCAAAGGATTGTTTACAATATTTATTTTTTTAAAATTAAATCGAATAACTGATATTGCCATTAAATTGATATGCCATTAAATTGATATGCCATTAAATTGATATACCATTAAATTGATGCGCCATTAAATTGATACGCCATTAAATTGATATGCCATTAAAACAGAAAAATCAATCGATCAATCGTCTGCGCTTCTGAGCTGAAATCCGTTATACTATTTAACTAAGAATGTATTCAACTTCTTTATATGTACGACCGGGTGAAATGTAAGAAAAAAAAAACTGTTTTTACGCATGGAACCTCCTCTGAAGATCTTGCAGGTAGTTTTCTAAAGTTAGAGATTTGTTCGCGTCTGGTCCTCCGTAGAAAAATCGACAATCGTTGATTTTAGCGGAAATGCGCGAGGTCCCTCAGACAGAGAAGAGCCTGGATTTCTTTTAGCAAACAGGTCTGTTAGCGGCAAGGGAGAGTCACTACAAATTTCTTTAAATAAAAAAGGGATCACGTTTCAAAATGTTTGGAAAAACCTGATCGAATGATTAAGATCTGGAGAATTTCAAAGGTTCCAGCTGGTAAAAGTCAAAAAAGTAAAAAAAAAAAAAAAAAATCTGATCCAGAATCCCTTTTTCTATGTGCCGTTTTCTTTCAGGACGTAGACGATCATGGCTCTCTACATCTTCCATTTCTCGGTGGCACTTATCAATGATTGTCTTTTTACCATCCCTCCCTGTTCTGCCATCCATTTACACAAGCTTGTTTGATAGGTTACCCGCTAATTTCTTCTGGTTTTGTTAACTTCATTATGCCATGTGAGTTTTAATTTTCCAATCCTTCTTTTCTCATTATGTGTCCCAGAAATTTTAACCCTCTTTCTGGTTTTATGTATAATTGTCCTTTTTGTTTCAATTTTCGCTAATACTCCCAAGTGCTCCGTTCATGGCACTCTAAGCGTCATTCTTTAAACCACATATATGTTGCCTCAAGGTTCGATTCTCACTGGGTGCCCCATGCATCCGGCCTTGTGCCACATCTGGGCTACGCTTGGAAAATCACTATATGTTGCCTCAAGACAGTTGTAAGGAAATTATCCAGCATTCACTGACAAAGTGATTTACTAAGCGTAGCTTAGTTGTTGCACACGGTTGAAAGTATGAGGTGACCAGTGAGGATTGAACTCACTACTCTCTAGTAATTGATCCAGCGAGACAAGCTTGTTAACCATTACACCACGTCGAAGTGCCTCGATAAGTTTCTGAGTGTGGTTTAGATGTGGCAGAAGGCTGAAAGTGTTGAGCATCCAGTGTGCATCGGACTCACTATTCAGTCGTAATTGATCTAGCGAGACAAGCTTGTTAACCATTACACCACGTCGAAGTGCCCACATTCGCTGTCATAGTGATTTTCCAAGCGTAGCTTAGATGTGGCACAAGGCCGAAAGTAGGGGGTACCCAGTGAGGATCGAACTCACTACTCAATCGTAATTGTTCTAGCGGGACAAGCTTGTTAGCCATTACACCGACTCGGTGCCCTACATTCGTTGTCATATGAGAGAACTGATATTACGTAACAGTCTAGTACTCATTTCTTTGGAAAGTTTATGCAATGAAGCTTCTAATTTGGTCCATTTTTTTTTCAAAACTATGACGGGAAGTGTGAAGAAGGGATTGAACAGAAATTACAAGAAAACAGAATGCATGTTCATCAGTAAAAGGATGAACCCTAAATGCGATTTGCAGGTCGGGAACACTAGAAAGGCGCGGAAGTTTAAATATCTGGGAAACATCTTGACAGAGGTCGGTAAGTGCGACACTGAGATCTGTAGACGTATTGGGATGGCCAAGGACACTGAGCAAAAGCTGAGCTGAGTATTGCGAGACAGGTAGATTTCTTTGGTAACAAAGAAAAGAATACTGAGTTGTTACGTGACATCTGTTCTTCTTTACGGCAGCGAATGTTGGACGATTTCGTCAAAGATGAAGAAGAGACTCGACACGAAGGTGAGGTGGTTCTACAGAAGGATACTAAGGATATCATGGACCGGGCACCAATGTGGTCTTAGAGAGGATGTAAAGAAAGGAAGAGGCTTATGCTTAATATCAAGAAGAGGCAGCTGAAGTTTCTGGGACACATAATGAGGAAGGAGGGCCTGGAGAATCTGATACTCACGGATCGAATAGAGGGAAAGAGAGATAAAGGAAAGCAGCGCTTGACATACCTGACAAGCTTGAGCAGGTGGATGATAGAACGTGGTCTTGGGGAGGAAGCAGGGGGAAGGAACTTGTTGAGAGCTGCAAGGGATAGAGGGAGGTGGAGAGCCATGATCGCCTACGCCCTGAAAGGACACGGCACATAGAAAGAAAGATCCAAGAAAAAGTATATTCGATCAAAGGCATCTAATTGATAATTTTTGTTGTCAACATCATGGAATTTCCACAGGCCCTGCTCGATATTTTTTTTTTTGTTCCTGTGTGTAAAATAAGTAATATCTGCAAATTTTCTGTACGATATTAACTTAAGCAAGTGCGTCAAAAAGCTAACGAAAATTCTTTAATGAGGATCGAATTTAGTCTACGAGCATTTGATGCAATAAAACTACTTCTTTCTCTTTGACTTTCCTCTCCCCTTTTCTTTCTTAGCTCTCTTTATTATTCAATCCCCCTCTCTCTCCCTCTCTCCCCTCCCCCCTCTCTCCATCCCCCTCTCTCCTCCCCTCTCTCCCTCCCCTCTCTCCTCCCCCTCTCTCCCCTCCCTCTCTCTCTCCTCCCCCCCCCTCTCTCCCTCCCCTCTCTCTCTCTCTCTCTCCCTCTCTCTCGGAAGTGCCTGCCACTCTCGTTTTCATTTCTTTCTCTCTACCTATTTCTCTCTCTATTTTACTCTTTCTTCTCTGCTGTTTCTTTATTTTTTCACATTTGGGGGGGGGGGTGGAGGGGGTTATCAACCATACTCTCCCTTTCTTCTTCTCTCTATCACACCTTATCATTTTTTTCATTCTTTTTTCTTTCTTTCTTTTTTATTGCACTCGCTTCTTCTCTCTTCCTTCCACTCGGTCTAATTCAATCTCTTTCTTCCTTTTTTCTAATAGTCATTATTGCACTTTCAACGGACTCTTCACCCACCAAACATCACTAATGTGTAAACCACGAGACGTTGTGTTTATGATAATCGTTCTCTCTCTTTTTCTTTTTCTTCTTTTTTTTTTTTTTCTTCTCTCCAATCTATTCTTGTGCGCCTGTTCAAGCCATTATGGATCCATGAGACAAGACGGAACCTGCCAGAAACGACAGCAGACACGAAGAATTATTCTGGTGCCGAGCCGATACCAGATGTACACAAGCTCCAGTTACACATCAAATTCCCTTACTCGGTCCTCTCTCTCTCTCTCTTTCTCTTTCTCTCTCTCACTCTCTCTCGCTCTCACCTTGTTTGTTTCATTATATTTCTTTTAAATATATACAGTGTAACCCGGATATAAGAGACCCGGATATAAGAGAAACCCGGATATAAGAGGGATTTTCTTTGATCCCAAATTAGAGCCCATACTTACCTAAACAAAATAGACCAAACCCGGATATAAGAGAAACCCGGATATAAGAGACTTCTTCTCCGGTCCCGACAACTCTCTTATATCCGGGTTACACTGTAGATTAAATAAGATTAGGGTAGAGTGGCACAAGGCTAAATGAGTGAGAGATGGCGTATCTATAATATTAATATTAATAACAGAGTATCAAACTACAGTCCAAAGTAAGGTGTGTGAAAGCCGCCTCCCCCCCGCAAAGTAAGTATTAAATAAAACTTCACCCACATTAAAAGATCCCTGGGGTAAAGGAGTAATGAAACTCACCCCAGACTATGCTTTTCTTGCGTCTCCCTCGCTTCTCATTTTTCTTTCACCCACGTTTCTTTCCGCTTTCTCTGCCTTCTTCCTTTTCCTAATTACGTTATTGTTGGGATATGAACAGACAGGCAGTTTGTATATACATATATATACCTGGTGTAACAGCAAAATTGTCCAAATTGTGTAACCGCATAATTGTCCCTCCCACAAAATGTTTAATATCTAAAAAAAAAAAAAAAAAACTAAACTAATTCAGTTTCTTTTTTCCGGGTTTTTTGATAAGACGTTTAGCCATCTTCATACCATTTATCGTAAGAATCACTGAAAAACCTTCTGTGTTATTAAGCTAAAAATAGAAGTTAAAATCGTTTTGTGTTTGTTATAGTGGAACACACCTATTCTATAGTTAATAGACTCTCCCACCTATAATAAGTAGGAGTAGTAAGAGGAACGGGTCGCTCAGTGGTTCGGTCAGTCAGACGATGCCGGACGACCGTTAGTCGGATACTAAAGTATCAGCGACCACAACTAGATTTCTCTGTGTCATTACCTATTATATCAAGTTCCTAACGTTTTGTACGTCGAACCTATTTTAGGACCGACTTAGTACAAATACAAGCCTCCACTGTGAAACCACTCTATAACAGTGTTAAACCCACTGTCTTCACAAATGAGCAATGGTGGGAGGAAAAAGATCATTCAGCCCTTCAGTCATGGTACCAACATTCATGCGCTAGCGTCTATCTTCAAAGTCCATTCAAGAACCATCAAGAGTTTTAAAAAGAGGGGACAGTGGAGAGGAAAACTAGTTCAGGAGGTCACAGCAGCAAGAGGGATCATCATTTCAACTTAGAGCTAAAGAGATCAATTACAAAAGAACCAACTCACTTCATAAGACGTTTGGCACGTGAGAGAGGAGTTTCACCTATGACAGTCCAAAGAGCAGTGAAAAAAGACTGTTAAGCTTAGAGAGTAATTATACATTCTTATTGCTCAAAGTAGAGTCCAATAGTGTTATAAAAGCCTCAGAGAATTCCAGTAAGATATCTTTAATCATTTCTAACATACGACGGTTCAGAGTTTAATCTAACAAATCGACAATTTTGCTTTTACACGATTTGGAGAATTTTGCTGTTACAGGTACCACCAAGAAATCCCTGAAAGAGTATACCATGATGAAAAAGGCCCCAATCTTGCTTAAAATAAGATTTTATCGTCAAAATGTTTATGTTATTAATAAGAGGAAAGACCAAGGTATTTTTTGATTATTTTATTAAAGTTTTTAATCCATTCTATCATGTTTGAAATTTTGGTTAATAATCAGGTTAGTATGAAGAATTTAGCGTCTTTTTGTGGTAAAAACGTATTATTTTGGAAATTCCTGCAAAAATCAAATAATTGTCGGATTTTAATTAAATTTTCAGGACTTATTCACAAATGAATGAAAATATGTTTTAAATTTCTGGTTGGTAAAACATTGTTAATAATATTTTTTTTAAATCTGTTACCTCTATTTAATTAATTTTATGAAATTTCGAGAACTTAAAATTTCAGCCTCTTCCTATTTATATTAGTTAATATCAGGACTTCTTGGAGAATTGAAACTATTATTTTCTTTTTGTCAAACAGAAACACCATTTACCGAAAATCTGCTCTGAATCATTAAATAAAAAATGCAATAAAACTATGACATTATTTAATTAGAAAAGCATTTATTTGCTTTCATAAATATGATATACTAGCAATAGAGCCCGGCGTTGCCTGGGGATGTAACAGTAAGAGATAGATCAAGTATTGACCATCATAAAGACTGAAAAATAAAATTGACAAAGATTATTGTTTAAGTTTGACGGACACGCATGTCTTAATTAGTTTTATTTATTTATTTATTTATTTTACGAATTGGTCAAACCCAAACTTAAACAAAAACATTGTTTTCAATCGTTATGAGTCTACCGATTGAATAGAATTTTATTATAAACAATTGTCTTGTAAATGGAATTTTTTAAAAGCATTCTGAATGTAAAAATAAAGAAAAAATGTGTGCAATAAGAAACACTACCTGCCAAAAAAAAGTGAAGTTTTGTTGAAATTGGTTGAAAAATGTAGGAAATCCGATCCCATACATAAACGAACGAACACACACACCAACACACACACACATACATACACACACACAACCTGGGTTTTATAATAAGTGTAACTCGATATGAGTTGTCCCCCTTTCATTCTCGCGATGCCTCTTAATCGTGTTTTCAAATTGATTTTGTGCAAAAACAATTGTGTTTTTCTAATTTTGGGCGCTGTCAGAACCACTGCAAGGTAATTTTACGTAGTCCTGTGAAGTTTTGTTGAAATCGGTTGAAAAATGTAGGAAATCCGATCCAATATATAAACGTACACACACACACACACACACACACACACACACAACCTGCGTTTTATAATAAGTAAGATTAAGGAGACTATTGTCTTAAATTCGATGATAATGAATTTTTACAAGAATTGTTTAGATTTTTTTTTAAATTTTAATTAGAAAAAATCATTAAGTTTTAAATCTTTTAAAATTCTGTATTAATTTCACCCTTTAAGCTGATATTATTATTATGTTAAAACTATATTTATTAATCATAAATGAGAAAGCTTAGTACAAAATCATCAACCAAGAATATTTTTAAAAGCATTTTCATTTTTTTATATCTATTAACGGGCCAATTTTGTAGATATGAGCGCCCATACACGACATTATCAGAAAATAAGAGCGGTACCAATAATAAGTTTAAAGCCAGAAAGTATCTAGAATTCAATAAAACATTAGACTACGGAGAATATTTTTAAAGTTTAAAAGATTAGAGTGCTTAAAAATTATATATAAAAGGCACTCAGGTTATATTCAATTATTTTTACGACTAAAGCCTCCATAGAACAACATAAGATAGACATCAGTCAGTCATCAAAGTGTCAAACATGTCAACAATTTAAATATCCGGCTACCGCTGTGTTAAAAAAATGCATTTCTGCGATATTTTAAGCTTAAAGTAAATAATATTTGTTTCAAATCGGATTAATTATATATATTATTACTAATATTCCTCAAGTAAAGTTTCAGAAAAGTATATTTTATTTTTGGAAGATTTTTTTATAAAGCGAATTACATTGCGATGAAAGAAAACTAAAAAAGACTTTAAAAAAACACCTTCCAGTCAATTTAATTTAAAATTCAGCAAAATATTTTGCTTATTAGAAATATTAAAAGCTTGAAGAAATATAGTTTTAAGGTGGCTATATTTAGGGGATAAAGTGTTCAATATCAGTGATAGAGGATATGTTAATATAAAAGTGAACAGGAGCCACTGTCTTCTCAAATGAGCAATGGTGATAGGAAAAAGATCATTCAGGCCTTCAGTCATGGTACCAACATTCATACGCTAGCTTCCATCTTCAAAGTCCATTCAAGAACCATCAAGAGAACGGTGGAAAAGTTTTTAAAATAGGGAACAGTGGAAAGGAAAACAGACTGTTTCATGCTATACGCAATCGTCAGGCTTGCATAAAACAGCCTGTAGCCTCTGAGTGTTGACTTCAATGTACACTTATATATATATATATATATATATATATATATATATATATATATATATATATATATTTATTTTAAAAAATATGATTCCTTCACATCAGAGTTCTCATGTTTCAAAAACGAGAGCCGAAATCATCAATATAATTATTGAAATTAAATTGAATTAAAGTAACAAGCCCTGTTTCATCCTCAAGCGAAAATTCAGGAATAACGAATTTTGAAATTTACGTATCGTTATAAGCGTCTTCATTCGTTACTATGGAAACGGCTGGGGAGACCATTTTTATCCACATATCAGTCACCTTCAGAGAGAGGTCAAGCAATTTAAAAAAAAAATAATTATAATCTAAGCTCTACTTCTGTATGGAGCACTGTTTTTTGTTTTTTTTAATAAAAACAAAAATACTAAAGAACCCTGGATTATTTACCTAACGTGTTCTTTCCTATTTTTCTACATACCTGCACCCCCCCCCACATATATATATATATATATATATATAATCTAATTAAAAGAAAAACAGTTCAGTAAGACGAAAATGTTTCGAAAGTGTATTAATCGCTAGTTCATCTACAGTAAATTTGAGTCCGGATTCTTACAACGTTTCATCATTCTCGATGTTTCATCATTCTAGTGATAAAGGCTTGTGTAGAGCCAGCCACACATTTCCGAAGAACCGCTAACAGAGAAATGGTTCACACTGCGCCACGAAATCTCCAAACAGACCTACTCAGGTTTGAATCTAGAATTTTCTTTTGCCTAACCTGTTTGTCTCCAAAGGCGAGAAATTCCATTCTGCCCTTCAGCAGAAGGCATATATGAGCCACCTATTGAAGATAGTATAGCCACAGTTCTCTTGACCCCTATTTCCGACTCCCCAGCGATGATCCAGATATTTCGCAGGCTGAGACTAAAAAAATATGTTTAGTAGCAGCAACGATTAGCAAGATGCTGATAATGAGATAAATCCTTGACATAGGATCGATTTGATTGATCGATTGATTAAACAACTGCGATCGAAATCATTAAT